TTACGGGATTTGTCATTAGGCCGAGCCAGGACTTCGCGAACGCAGCGACGGCTGATCGCTCTATCGAGGAACGACCGGCTTTTCAATTATTTTCTGCGACCTCGAATTCGAATTACGTCCCACCAGTTCTGAGTAGTGCCGTCGACGCACGGTGGTGCACGGTTAAATTTACATCGCAAAGGACACCGCGACTAGCGAAGAAACAGACGTGGAATAATGAAAATTTTTCATTTTCGACAGTGGACGCCTTGTCTTTGGAATTGTGGCATCGACGAATAGCTGAGATTTTTTTGATTAGGATGAATCTAAACGCGATGTAAATCAGACTATGTTCATAAACAAGCTTGTTGTTATAGATTGATTATTAACAGTGAATCTATTATACGAACTTATATGAATTTAACTAACACATGCAGCGTCTTTGAAACAGAATGGGTGAAAACGGTCGTTTTGATCGGTTTGATAGGTTTAGCGTTAATTGTTAGAAGGGTTAGGCAATAATTTCTGAAAATGAAATTTTCTATGTTGCACGTTTATTATTTGCTGATCACGGTGTCCCTTGAACCACTATGACTTATTTTACAGCTTCGTTGATCAGCATTTTTGATCCTTGTACATCTCAATTTACTTTTATTCCTAGATTTTTATGTTTTGTTTCTTTTTTGTAAGAAATGAATAACACTCGTACTTTGTGGATTATGTATGAAATTTTTATGATAAATCTGTTCTGTTGTTATACTCTGTAAGCGCTGTTCGACGTCTATTTCGTTAAGTTACACGCTGTCTCCGAATCGATGTAAATTTAATCGTGCACTACTAGTTAGGGTAATCGTAGTATTAGGGGGACCGGAAAGTAGTGTCGCTCTGTGCAAGTAATGTCGTTTCAGTAATGTTCGTTTGTCATTTATCAGCTCATAGTGTACTTCCAAGTCGCGCCAAAGACATTTTAAGGTTAGAGTGACTTGTTTTCTCGTAAATAATTAAACTCAAATTATCTTTTTTGCTACTTATGGTGAAATGACCAGCCAGATACCAGAAGAGCTACGTATCCGGCATTGTATGCTTTTTGAGTTTCACAAGGGTAGCAACGCAACAGTTGCTACCAAAAACGTTTGCGATGTTTATTCAAGTGCATCAGACGTTCGAAAATGCCAAAAGTTGGTTTTCTAAGTTCAAATCCGGTAATTTTGATCTTTTCGACTCGTATCGGTCAGGAAGACCAACAACTTTCGACGATGACATGTTAAGGGCGGAAGTGGAAGCAAATCCGTGTCAGACAATTGAGGAACTCTTAACCAACCTTGGTCGATCATCCAAGAACATTCGCAGCAGATTGGTAAAGTAAGCAGAGCAGGTGTTTGGCTCCCGCATGATCTGTCCGAAGAAAACAAAGCTAACCGATCCACCGCATGCAACTTATTGCTTCAGCGACGAGCCATGGATAAAATTAATGAATCAGGGTGGGAGGTATTGCCTCGCCGACCATACTCGCCGGATATCGCGCCATCAGATTTCCATTTATTCCGATTGCTGCAACATTTTCTAAGCGGTAAAAAATGTGAAAACTTGGACGATGCCGAAAATGCCATCTCCGTATATTTTTCTAAAAAGCCAAGCGATTTTCATCGATTCGGCATTGAAAATTCGCTCGCCAGATGGCGAAAGGTTGTTGACAACGAGGGTGATCATCGATCGAACACTAAAAACTAGTTAAAAATTGATCCGTTTGAATTCAATATGTTGGGATTATGGAATGAAAATGAATATGATTCTAATTCTTTTCTTAAAAAGACTTTATTTTATTCCTTTATTGAGAGAAGGTATATGGGCGAAAACGATCGAGCGACCAAACTCTACTGAGAGTCCGGTAAGAAAAAACGCTTCTTTTATACCCTTTTTGGATTCGTCTTGTCCACCAATCAGAGACGTTTTATTTGTCGCGTTTCACATTGTATACGTGACGCTGGGACCCCCAAACAGTCAGGGTACGATGTATATCTAATGGTACCGGTGATGATGTATCGCGGTATCCACTATATACAGTTTACATCACCGTCGTTGCCCGCTGACGGAACCGGCGAAAATGTAAACCGATATCTTAGTATCTTAGTACTAAGTAAACTATAGATTAATTTTTGTTCGAGGCTAAAATTTCAACAAATTCAATATAAAAAGAAAAAAGAAACGACACATTACTTTCCGCCCTCCCCCTAATAACTTCGCCCGCGCACAGTAGAAATCTCAGAGCCAACAGAATCCCAACTGGTTTCCGATAACCCGATCACGCGTTCCCCGGGATCGTCGAAGAATAACAGCGGTTTGCTGTCCGCGGGAGTTCGGCCGGTCTGTTCCCAATGAAGTAACTCAAATAATCGCGTAGAAAGGGAAGAGTTATCACTTACGGTTCCCCGGTCGGAGTCACGCGAGGCTAAATATGAAAATGAGTCTCGAACGCTTGGAGAACGTGGAACGGTTCGACTGGCGCTGCGCCGTTGGCATTCGGTCCTTACGCAGCCGTAGCCATGGTCATAGACGTAGAGACACGGACGTGGAACACATAGGCACACGGGGCCTGTCCCGCGCGCCGCTGCGCTGTTCGGCCAGACTGTATGCTCGTTATATGTCAATACGCATTGCGTGACACGAGCATACAGAGGCGACAGCATGCCGAGGATCATGGCTGGGCGTATTCAGCCGTGAAACTCACCCCAACGCGTTTACATAAACACACGGGAAGATACATACACTCTCTCAAGTAGGTTAATCTCCCAGCCGTTTCGATCGGGCCGGTTATCTCGAGAGGGGTTTGTGGGGACGACGCCGCCTGACCCCGGAACTCCTGGATCGTCGCCGATTATCGGTGTCTACGGGGGATCGAGACCGACGCGCCGCGATCTATCTTTGATCCTCGGGACGGAGGATCCGCGGCGCGGACGATTTTCCATCGCGGGATCCGCGGATAAGCACTTTAACCGCGGCGGCCCGAGATTTGATTTTCCATTTAATTATAAACGAAGAGTCTGCCGCGCTCCGCCGGCAGCAACTTTCTCTGTAACGCCGCAGTCCCGGGTGAGAGGTACCCTGGCGGAATCTGACAGGAAATGGATTTTCCGAGAAGCTACGGCGAACAGACATTCGTAAATATCCATCTTTTCGATTAGTTATTAAATGAAAATCATTAGCTTCGCGCGGTCCCAGCTGAATAAATCAGGACCAGCGTAATGGAGGAGGAAGCCATTGGCAAATTTCTGTTGAATTATTTTAAGGCTTATTTAAAATACTTACGGCACTTCCTTTTGATTCATGATCGTTTCCGGAAGGTCGCCGATTTTGGGATGAAACGTTCCCAAAACGACCGAATGGTTTCTAAATGGAATTTACGAATTTTCGAGTGTTTCGGTAAAAATATCGAACGTACCTTCCACGGCGTGAACTATAAAAATTGTGTCGCGGTCGAAGGCACGAACGTATCGCGGACGTTTCACCGTCGCGATACGTTCGATCGGTTCGTATAACGAACGCTCAATTAATAAAATTATAAATTTTAATTTTTAACTTCCTTTGATTCATGTCGTTTCCGGAAGGTCGCCGATTTTAGGATGAAACGTTCCCAAAACGACCGAATGGTTTCTAAATGGAATTTACGAATTTTCGAGTGTTTCGGTAAAAATATCGAACGTATCTTCCACGGCGTGAACTATAAAAATTGTGTCGCGATCGAAGGCACGAACGTATCGCGGACGTTTCACCGTCGCGATAAGTTCGATCGGTTCGTATAACGAACGCTTCGCTCCCCCAACACGGTTATCGTTGTCCCTCGTTGGAAATTGAATGTTTCGCTCCGATATTTACGAAATCATCGATTTCCGATCGCCGACGATAAAGATACGCCGGGGCCGCGCCGTGCCGCGCCGCGCCGCGCCGCCTCCATTACGTCTAATTACGGGACGCGGCCGTTTGATCGAGCCGTGTTACCTTAAGGCGGCGGTCACCTAGATATCGGCATTGTTATCCTGCCTGACCGCAGCCACTTAACCGAGTTGTAAGCCCCACGAGTTCAACTTTACCCTTCAACAGGTGTTTAGGGAAAGACAATAATGTCGCGCATGCGCCCCCAACTTCTTAAGGTCGCAAAGTTCGTCCGAACAATCTGACCGCGGCCATGCCTGCGGACCGTGATGGCATCCGTACCCGGAGTTAATTGAGTTTCCGGAGAAGAATGAATTTTTTTTTTGCCCGAGCGAGGGACCATCCGGGGGCCGTTCTCACGGGAATTCTGAAATCGTTTCGTAAACCGACGCTCGCCATTTCACGGTTTTGTTATTGAAGGAGATGCTTCTTTCGATAAATATATTGCAGCTCGGTCCTTCTGTCTGTAAATTGTTAAAGTAGCACTTGCAGTGCTTTTGCTTTGTTACTTCGCTTCTGAGATGGTCCGAGGAGAGCTTCTGGACGATTTCAGTTCGTTTTATACGGTAGAAATTGTTTCACTTCGAAAATATGTTTAAATCAAGATGCACGGAGTAGTAATTATTATATTGATTTTAATTCGACGAAACTCTGCAGCATCGACTGCAGGTAACATCGTATAGTGTACCCTACCTTACCAACGATAGCTAAGCGAGCGGCAGACGGTAAGAAAATTGCAGGTATCTGCGTTTCGCAACCGTTGGTAAGGTAGAATCTGACAGGGGTGTCGGTAGAGCAGTTGCCGGGCTTCGGCTAGATGGCAATTCCATCCAAGGGAACGAACTTTGAATTTTAATATATCGAGCGATAGAAATTTTACCACCGATTTTCAATTGCAAAATAATAGAGCGGGATGTTTTATACTTGAAGATAAATAAATTTAAATAAGAATGAAATACAGGATTGACACTAACGTTCGCGTTTTTCGTTCGAGAATTTCGCTGGAACTGATCGTTTTACTTTAAACGTTTTCATAAAAGCATGAATGAAGTTTGGATTGAATATCTAATCGTATCGTACATCGTTTCCAGGCATTAAATGGCGCCGAGGGTACCGTGCCACCAGGAAGAGTGTACAAGAAAGTCGCGATCGTGGAGAACTTTTTCGACATTATTCATGCTGTTCACGTTGACCTTGAGGGTCGTCCCGGAAAGCATGCCGGTCAGAAGAGAACGTACAGGACGGTAAGTTTGCAAACGCTTCTTCTAATTACTTTCATGTATATTCAGTGCGATGCACCGAATCAAAAGTAGACCTCTGGATTAAAGATTTCGTCAAAATCGCCATTCCGCTAAAAATTCCGCAGTGTTCTCAGAAACTTCTGAAACACGTTGGATCGGTTTTGGCAGGCTTGTCGGAGACGACCATAAATTACATCCACTTCGTTATTGGAGCATACAGAATTTTAGTTTCGCACGTTATTTAAAAATAATAGGACTGCGTTCGCAGCTTTCCATCGGCAACATTGTGATGGAGAATGCAAGGGCGTGGAAGTGTTCGAAACGCTCGAAAACCGAACAACCCGTTCGATAAACATGATTTATTACGAAAAGCTTACAAATTAGCTTTTATCTTCTTCAATGAACACTCCACCCCCTTTCCGGCGCTGCTGCACACGAGGTTCCCATTGTCCGGGGCCGTGCCACAGTTCATCAACCGATAACCCGTCACTGGGTTCGCGGTTTTTTTTATTTTCCACTTTTATGAATCGGATGTGAAATACGGCATACCGTTATCTCTGCATGCCCGTTTTCACAATTGAAAGTTCCCCGCCACCGATTCATTTATCTCAACATAATCAGAATCACGTGGAGCGATTCGCTTGCTAGCCGATTTTCAAAATAAATCTGACCGAGTTCGGATGAGATATACAACTCTAGCAGTTAAATTACACGTTGCTCAAGTAGAAGTTAAATTACATAGAAGGCGGAACAGGTCTTTCCGTTTGAAAGCCTCGAAACCACGGTCACGGCTGGTTCTCTTAATTGACAATGTTGCGAATCTAGCGATTCAATTACATTCGCAGTCCAGTTTTTAACTGTTTGAGTTGGGCCGTAGTGCGGCGAAAGGATGGGAAAAAGTGGTCTTTCCACACGCTGTCCGTATTTTTTCGTGTTGAAACTCGAGAACGAACGCGTGCATACACGTAGAGAGACGCTACTCTTGGAATAGTAACTTTTTCAATTTTTTCGGTCGATAGCGACAATTTTGGAATGTATCGCATCCCATTTTATTTATTGGAAGCCTATCGATAGGATTCGAACGATCGAAGTGAAGTTGGACAATTTTTCTTTAACCAATGATTTCGAACGAACCCGTTACATTGTACCAATCTAATTGATTTCATCGATCACGGATGAGATTATTGTAGCTTTTGTACAATTTGTTCAGAAATTCTTAACCGTTGATTCATTCATTCGAAGGGAACTGTTAAAAAACTGCGGCCAGTGTTTTGAGCTTGTTTTACATATTCTGAAACTATTTTCCTTCGCTCGTGTCATACAGGTTTCCATATCTCACGATACATTGTCCATCTTAATTACACAGCCTCCATACTAAAATACATGTTACAATGAAATTCACATTATTACAATTACGTACAAATTGGGTACAAATCTACGATACTTTAACCCTTTGCACTCGAGTGAGGACTCTGAGGCGACGCTAGAAATTGCTATACTATTCTCAAAAGAATGTTCACGTTATTAAGTTTGTCTCTATTTGATAAATTGTCAAATTTATATAATAATAATAATAATAATATATATAATATATATAATATATATTATTATCATTATTATTATTATATATAATATATTGTCAAATTTATATAATAATAATAATGATAATAATATATATTATTATTATTATGTATATAATATATTGTCAAATTTATATAATAATAATAATATATATTATTATTATTATTATTATATATAATATATTGTCAAATTTATATAATAATAATAATAATATATATTATTATCATTATTATTATTATTATTATATAAATTTGACAATTTATCAAATAGAGACAAACTTAATAACGTGAACATTCTTTTGAGAATAGTATAGCAATTTCTTACAAATATATGTATAAGCATACACGTCCATTTTCACGTGTATCAAGCAAAAACAATGATAACAAATGGCAATACTGTAAGCTGAAACAAACGTCTTCGCTCTCGCGTTAAAATAGCCCCGAGTGCGAAGGGTTAATTTACCAAAATTCGCAGCGCAGCCGAATTTCTTTCGCCGCTGAAATTCGTCACGAGCGAAAACAAAGCCACGCGAAATTCTTTCGAACACCGGGTACATATTGTTTTTCGTTTCGCAGTCGCGTTAACCGAATTTAACCCGCCGATCAAAGCAATTGGCTAACAAACGAAAAATCCCGGATTTGATCTCGATTTTGTTCCGACTAGTTTTCGATCTCTCTTTTTTCTTTTTTTCCCCCCCGGAACGGGGGCAAAACTCGAAACGTCGAACAGTTTCACTTTGTAACTCTTACACCGGAAGCCCCGTGTGAACGATACAAAATCCAGTCCCTAGCCTCGCGACACACACATACACACATAGAAAAAAAAGAAAAAACAATCTTTGCAGATCGTATCTAGTGTCATCCAAATTCAATCGATCCGGGCAACGAGCTCCCCGGGGAGAGGATATATTGGCGCATCGATGACCCCGAATTCGTTCGGTGTCGTCAGCACGCCGAATTCTTGCATGACCGGCCGCGACACGTGATATTTACCGTTCCCGAGGGAAGGCATTGAGGCATTCAAGCGTCGAACACTCGATACCACACGTCATCTCACGTGTTCCGGCCGCGCGTTGGCGTAGAGCTCTCTCCGGGGTATCATATCTGTTCTCCGACACCCTCCCTCCCCCGATCGGTTTTGCCCTCTTTCTCCCGTTCGCAACCCTCCGACCTTCCCGCCGCCCCATTTCCCGTCTCGCTCCGCTCCGCGCCTCTCCGCTCGCCGCTCTCTACGCCGCTTCTCTCTCCACCCCCGCGAGCCGCCACCCGCTCCAGCCCGTCGTCCGCGCCCACCCCATCCAAACCGCGTCCTCTCCTCTTCCTCTCTCTCTCTCTCTCTCTCTCTCTCTCTCTCTCTCTCTCTTTCTCTCTCTGAACCGCCGCGATCTGCTTGTGATTCAAAACCTCAGGACACTTGTTGCATTGCCTGCTTACTCGTAGACTCACACACGCGCGCACGTTCGACGGCCGCGCGCACACGCACGCACGCGTACCGCCCCCGAGCCCGAGACCGAGCTCTCGCGACCGTGAAACCGTTTTACGTTTAAGTCGACGTTACCAGTCCGCGATTCATCGAATCGCGGAGCATCCCGCCGCGTTCCGTCGCGTTCCGTCGCGTTCCGTCGCGGCACAGGCTGGCCGAGTCGGGCTCTTCGAAATTGGGTTGCCGCCCTTTGTACCCGCGCGACCTATGAACTTTGCAACTTACCCAATTTCCTAATTGCACTTGATTTTACTCTGCCAATCGATGCCGGCGAGAACCTGCTTGCTTCGTTCGATACCTCGGGTTCGGAGATCAGGGATAAATGGAATAACCTTTTGCTGTTTAACGCGTTCCGTGCCCTCGATTTTTTATTTACCCCGTACAATATTTTAATTTAGTTTAGTTTTATTTTATTTTATTCAGTTAAATTTAATTTAATTTATTTAATTCAATTTAATTTAATTTAGTTTAATTTTATTTTATTTTATTCAGTTAAATTTAATTTTACTTAATTCAAGCTAATTCAATTTAGTTTAATTTATTTAAACATACGGGTAGGCACACCAATTTTCACACTATCAGAACAAAAACATAGCTTCCTTTGAATCGCATAGGATCGGTAAATTATGTGATCGTTGTCATAGTCATGGTCCAGTTGACTTAACTCTTTGCACTCGAAGCTATTTCGACTGAAAATGTAAAATCATTTTTCTAACTTACAGTACTTCTATTTTATATGAGAAAATGCATTTTATGCATATAGCTACACTCTTAAGAATTTTTCAAATGTAAACTTTGTTAATATCAAAATTATCCTAAAAGGTGATATAACAAACATTAGTGGTGCCTCAGAGCAAAGTGTTAGCTATTCCAAGCTATTATGCCGGCGTCAAACAAAAGAATCATATCTAAGATCTGCGGACGGCATAGTGTTAACACAATTTCAAGTCGCATTCTAAACTATAAGGAACGAGACATTTACAGTGAACCTGTTTACACTTTCGGTTTACCGGAAAAGCATGCCCCGCAGAATTGTTTCGTAGGCGGAGATGTCAAAGAGACGCGACAAAGCGTTCAATTCTAATTTCCTCGAGTGTTGGCTTTATGCTCTTTGAATGAAACCGGCGCTAGGAAAAGCGAATAAAGGCTCGAAGACGCTCATTGTCAGTTTTAGCGATCGAAATCTTCAAACAATTTAGGGCGCGGAGTAGAGGGTCGTGGAATGCGAGGGTTGTGACTGGTGTAAGAGGGTGCTGATTCGCGGCTAATTGATACTTAGCTATCGGGGTAATTTTCTTAACCGACGCGGCAGCCTATTTCCTGAAAACTCTTTTATCAACTGCGAAAAATACAAACAGTTGCTGTTCACGCTTTCTGTATTATTCAACACGCAGCGTTACAATGATTAATTAGTCGATTCTTCTGTTATCGAAATCTAGAGGTGAAAGTAAATGAAGCAGTGCGAGATATAAAAATTGTCTCGCTCCATTAAGGAAATTGTTGCACCTGTAGAGGGCCGCGGGCACACTTTCTCGTATAAGTGGGTGGGTTTATTCTAAAAATTATTACATGTACAGTGGGCCACGAAAGTGTTCGTACACCTTTTAAAACGTAATAACATTTTTAGAACTGGACCAAGTGACTTGAATTCTTTTTTAGATGATAGAGTAGTCTACTGCTTCTTCTACTAGACTAGTCTATTAAAAAGCTTCTTTTTTAAATTCTACTATTACTTAGAATGAAAAGATAAAATTAAAAACCCACGTTTTTTAAACTTTTTTAGCTGAGCTTATAACGAACATTTAAAAAATGTCTTTCGTAGATCTCGATAACTTATATGCATGTTGAAAATTTTATCGAAATTGGTTCACGTTGTTACGAGTTACAATAAATTAAAGACCGTAAAAATCGCAGTTTTATCACGATTTGGACAAAAAACT